ACACAACACAGAAGAGGGCCCGGGTGCGGAGTGGTTCTTTTTACCGCTTCCCAGCCACTGAGATTGTTTTGAGCGGCGCTCCTTCGTGGGGTTCAGATCAAGTTTGGATCTCCACCAAGGTGCTGACTGAAAATGGGGCCCCTAAGAAGCCGCGTTTTCAGTCAGCCCCTTGGACCCACATGTATAGATGACGACATGTATAGATAGCTGCCTTGGACCGTGTGTTCCACAAGGTGATAATTTCAGTTCTCCAGTCAGCAGAAAATGGCGGGCCATTGATGTCGCCAGGCCGCCAGCAACCGTGTGGAATGCCCCGCGACCAACACCAACACGAGCACCCCACCAGTGCGCTGCTCAGAACCGCCGAGACACTGGAACTGGGTGTTTCTTGCACCGTAGAGCCCAAGTAATGCAGACTGCAGACTCTTGATTAAGAATCTACATTCGCATTAATTTGTTCTTCCCATGTTCCTCTTTCCGATGGCACTTCGAAGCGGGGTGCTGTTCAGAGTGCTGTTGGTTCCTGTTCCGGTTCGCCCGAGACACCCCTGGCTGCGTCCTCCGTGCCCGGAGGTCTGGAATGGGCTGAGCTGCGTGCTGGCTTGCCCTGAGGATCCGCCACCCGTGGGCATCCAGGCGAACGGGACGACGAGCGGTTGATTTGGGCGTGGAACGGGAGACATTCACGACGCTCAAAGGGGTGAAAGACGATGTGTCCGACCGGGAGTTGGTGGTTTTTGACTGGGAACAAGGGGCATTTCAAAGAGTGAGTATCACTAGCCCCTGAGAGGTAGAGGGGTGGGTCCTGCTATTGTATTGATATTTGTATTTATGCAATGACATTGACCCAATACTATTATTGCATAGATGAAATTGACTGCTGGGCTGGGTCATCGAGTTAAAGCCGGCAGTGGCAAATCTACTAGCAAGAGCTGTCAGCATTGTCAAGGATACTGTATGCATTGCTTTGAGCCAACTTCACTGACGGAACATCTTGCTGCGGATATAGAGTTTGTTGCCTTCGGAATTACACAGAGTACTTTGACTTAATTGAGCCTTTCAGTCCTTATTGAACTGGACTGACTCATGTAGCTTTGCTGATGGAAAGCACCGTCCGCCATAGTGCTTTTGGGGTGGTCTAGGCTCCAAACTAATTTCTTGGATTACACTTCACCAATGGATTTGCTTCTATCCAGGTTTCTTAAAGACCAATGTGACAATGTCTTCCAAGGGTGACAAAGGGGTTGCTAGGCTTGTTTTTTTTGGGGGAGCTCCCTATAACTCCCACACGATCCATTTGTACCCTGTATATAGTTGGACGCTGTATGACGCACGACGGCTGCCAGGCTGTGGTTTTGCCGGGCACCCTAGTCTACAGACTATTGCAGCTTTGCAGGAAAGAAGCCGGCGTAATGTGAGATGTAGGAAGTATTTTATCACCCTAGTAGCGATGGCCTCGACCCTAGTAGCGATGGCAGGAAAGAAGCTGCAGTAATGTGGGATCTAGGAAGTATTCCATCTACGTAACTAGATGGCACCAAGCCCTTATTTCATCGACTTTGCTTGACATCGCCATCAGTCAAACGCGGCTCGTAGAAAAACTGAATCCATTCCGAGGAGGATATATATATATATATACAATCATATAATACAATACAATATATGTATATAATAAGCCATTTCCCACGTTTTTTCGCGCTCCTTTTTTTCTCATGTGCTACCAAACTTTCCCCCTGTCATGTTGAACTGATGATGACTCTGATGGGGGCGAACTGTACCAATACGGTGTAGAAAAGAGTCTCCATGAATAAGTGCCATTGCGCAAGTGGTTTGCAATGGGTTGAATTAGTGGATGCGAAGACAATGGAGACTCCTCTCTGGCTTCACTTCCGAACAACAGAAACCACAGCCTTGGTTTGGTTGGCAGCTGTGGTATGTAGCGTTCTTTTTTTGGGGAATACGACCCTTGAATCTTACGACCTAGGTTTCGGCCCTGGCCTTCCGGAGCTTTCCTCAATCCCCACGTTTTTTGTGCCATTTAGTTGGGGAGATGTCAGCAATTTGAGGTGCCAAGGTAGGTCACGGGCTTCGAGCCGTTTCGGTGATGTCCAGCCGTTTCGTTTAGGAACGGCTTCCAGCAGCAGGCCACTGATTGGGGGTGGGAGGAGGCTTTGGGGAAGCACGATATTCCAAAACAGGGCTGGTTGGTGAAGAATGTCTGGCACATTTTTCGATGAACAGGAAACTACTGTGGGTGGTAAGATAGAGTTGGTAGGAGAGGAACTTGTTTGTCCAAGCTGAAGCTAAGTAGTCGCTTGTAGGAAGACCCAAGACAAGTCTGACTTGTTTGACAAGGACGAAGCAGGGTAACATATAGGAGGAGGTCCGTCACAGAAAAACCCAGGAAAACAACCCAACGTGAGAGAGAGAGAGAGAGATATGAGTGCTGCTTGAGCCTCCCAATTCGTGGGAGTCCTCAACATCCCAGCAGGCCATTCCCCTTTTTCACCACGCGCTAACCCTTTGCCGATCACGAGGGTTCCCAGTTTGGTAAACAGCGAGGATTTGTGGGAATGCGCTGATGGCTTCATCGGCACTGCCACAAGGACCTGGCAGCATTCAGCAGCTGTGCCCTTTCTCAGCTTCTCGCTTGGGACACTATCGAAGACCCAGGTCTTGGTGGTTTCAGGTAGAGCAGGATATTTTGTTCAATGGTTTTTTCTTTTTAGTTTGATTACCAGGAGGGGTTCGTTTCTTGAACATTTAAGGCCTTCCAGGACTTCTTTGACGGAAAAAAATACATGACTCTGAAGGTCGGTGACAACGGTGTCGTCGGTGACTCGAGGACCTGCCACTTGCTGGAGGGCTGCCAGAGTGAGACCATCTTCGGCGGTTGCGAACGGTGCGGTGCGATAGATCGTGTGCCGATGCTTTGCTCAAGAGCTCAATATGGAGCCAGTTTCTTGCATCCACTGCGTACGTATCGTTTTTCGCACAAGGATTGCTTATGCTTTTTGTTTGACCAGACGGGTTTCAGGCTCCTCAAACAGGACTTGCGTAGGCTAAGAGAGTAAAATCAAGCATGGTGGGTCCAGCAGGCTCCTCTTTCTTGTTGGACACTACTGTGACAGTCGTGCGACAAGAGGTCTGTGTCGTAGGATGTGCCGCACTGCTCAATATCATGAATGGAATGGGTGTTGTTCACCCAACAGCGCAGGGAGTTTGGCGGCAGTTTTTAGGCACAAGGCACAAGGTCAAGAAGACTCCGGGTAAGTACAAAATCCTTGCTCTTGTAGATGCCGCCAGGCTTCTTCCATGCCGACCTTTCCTCACCGACGTGTGTGGAATCAATGCCCGAGACCCCTGTTTGACGCCTGTTTGACTCGTCCCACCGCAAAGATCCGGATGGAGCGACAAAGACAAGCTGGTGGGTTTCGGTTCAGGCACATTGACAGGTTCCAAAATGAACAGAATCGAATAGATTGCTCTCGTTTCAGTCAAGTCTTTAAGATTGATGCCCTAGGAACGCTGGCTCCGAAACTTAAAGCTTTGGTGTCTCTTTAGCGATCATTCAATCCCACGAACAGGCAGAGCTCCCTTGTTCTCCCTCAAACGTTGGCTCCCCTGAAAGCAGATCTCGCGAGCCCTTGGCAGCACCTCCATTTCGCAGATCCGAAGCTGACGGAGAAACGGTTGTGACCCGACCGTAGGGGGCCGACCGGGACCAGTCTACGACCAGTCTACGGGTGAAGTCGTCGAGTCGTGATGGCAGCACCGTCAGTCTTCGTGTAAGGCCACAAGCTGCCAAACCTTAGAGCCGGGAGAAAGCTGTGAGATCACCTGCGGTCAAGGCATGGGAACGGACCATCGGAACGGACGAAAGGACCATGGCACAGGCTTTGCAGTAGTGGGTCTTGAGTTACCACCACCTGATGGGGCTATCCAAGCGATGTATCTAACCTCTTCCTTGAGAGGGTTAGAGGGCCAGCCTGAGCATCACATGGATGTCTGAAAGACTAGAGGACGGAACCTGGAATCGAGATGAATCAAGGGGGTTGCTCATTTAGCTTGGACGTCTTCTGTGAGCATCCGTGAACTGTATAGAAGACGGACGGCCACGTGCTGGATGACCCTTGCGCACTGAAGACGATGTTTTTGGAATAGGGAAGGTTCTTTCATGTTCTTTCGGAACATGGAAAACATTGGTTTATGCCGGTTTATGCACAGAGAAAGATGACGGACTGTGGACCTGTTGGAGAAGGTGTTGGACAACACATGGACGACCCCGGGTCCGTTTCGGGTCGTCCCGTGTGTCCTGCTCCCCGTGCTCCGCGACGTGTAGACGTTCCGTCTGGGTAGGTCACTCGGGTGGCCCCTTTGTGGCAGAATGTCCAGCAGGAAACACCATCTTCAACAGGCTGGGAATGAAGACGGCGAGAAGGGCAAGGGGGCAAGGGGGCAAAGGTCACTGATTGCGGCCAGTTCTGGCGTGGTTTGAAAAGAACTTGGCTAGGAGGATTCTAAGAGCACTTGGTCTTGCTGCCTTGCTGTTGATGAGCAAGTCTATCATTTACTTGACTGACGTGTCCTGCTGTTTGGGCTCCAGTGCTTCCTGCAAGAAGAAGCTACGATGACCGCGATCAAAGGCCGAAGGCCGAAGGCAACACTTTGTATTGATTGAAAGATATTGAAAGCAAGGATTGTCGATGGCCTCAGACTTAATTGCAATTGCCTCCACTAGAAGCGATGGCCTCCAACCTAGAAGCCATGGCCTCCAACCTAATTGTAGAGATTGAATGCAAGGATTGTCGAGACTTGCAGAATTGCCAAGCCTTGCGGTGCCAAAACACGATTTTAGCTGTGGTCGGTCATGCAACAGTGCTTGCGGATTGGTCAGAGAATCTTTGCCCGTCAGGGCTTCGAGGCAATCAGTCCTTAACGCCAGGAGTCAACTAGCTTACTAGAACTCTGTTCATTCCCCAAATTAATTCCAATTGCCTCGTGGGGTTCTGGCAATAGGATTTGGTGCTTGACCCATGGATCTCTGTTCGGATGACGCGCTCCAAAGCACGAGCCACGGCCATTTGGGCGCTTCTGGCGGTGCCTCTTTGGCTAGGCTCGGTGCGTTGGGAGGGGCCAAGAAAAGGTGTCCAGCTTCCAAGGTGCTGCAGAAGGCATTTCGATCGACGAGGTCAATGCGGTGAGATTGAATAACCTCCCTAGACATCGGGTTGTAAAACTTCTTCGAGCTTGGAGGGTCAAAATACAATCAAGAGTCTACATGATTCCATCCAGTTGTTGGATCATGTCGATTGTCTGAACGCTGTTGTATGGTGGTGTTCATGCCCTACAACTCTTGCTCTAGGTGTCTCCAATGCATCAATCCCATCGATCCCTGTGCTGGAGCCTGGTAGTGTCTTGGCTCCGAAATTTGGCCAGTTTTGGGATCTACTTCCCAAGTTAGAGGCTGCGGTTGATGCATCCCTCTACCTTTTGAGTGGTTGAATGTGCATGGTTGAATGTGGTTGAAAGTCTTTTTCCTTTGGTCTCCAGGGCGCAGAGCTTTGACAGTCTCGGGTTCCTACAAGGTCAGAACTTTGAACATCATTGGAGCGAAACGGCTTGCAACATCCAGGTGACCAGCCAGACCATCTCTCTTGACCACCTTTGTGAGCCTTTCTGGTGAATCGTAAAAAAGAATTGATACAGTACCCCTTTGCCCTTGACCAGTTGAAATAAAAGAAGCTGACTGTTGCTTAGCAGGGCATGAGGGAATGACCGGTTGCACTCGTTGCACCAGTCAGAATACTTTTCGAATCCAAAACCGATCGCACACCTTCAATCCTCCCAAACCGCCCTGAGGCGCTCAGTTAGCCACGGCCTTCCGCCAGCTGGGCGCCTTCCAAACGCCCCTGGCCGGCGCGACGGCGGCCGCGACGCAGCGGTGCTTTGGGGACTTTGCTGCGATGCTGGCGCAGCCTGAAGAGGAACTGCTTTCCAGTGGAAGAGATGCTTTCCGGTGAGCGCAAAACCAAAAAGCAGTGGCTTCAAAAAATAAGGTTCCAGTGTGTTTCAGGGAGTCTTTTCCTTTGCTGCTGGTCACCTGGAACACTAGCAGATTGCACCAGACTTAAGTTGACAAAGATCGACTCGACGGACAAAGTATATTCATATTAATGCTCCATGGTTCAAGTTGGTTTAATGAAAGCCGTTCCTCGCCCTGCCTTTCAGGAGAAGCGCCTTCATGTTTCCCATGACTTGTTGGAACTGCATGGCTATCAGCCACGAGGAGAATTGGGTGAACGTGCCCCGCATATGATCTGGAGGGAAACCTGAACTCAAGTCTGGCCCCACATGACCTGGTTGCGAATCCAGTTTGGTTGATGTTTTTCCTTCACGTGGACCCCTTGTCCAGATACTGGTCCACTATGTTCTGGAGGGGCGTTTTTTGTTGTTGTTCTGTTTATTTATTTATTTGTTCGGATTCTGCTTTTGCTGCTTTTCCTGCTTTTGTTGCTTTTCTGCTTCTGCTGCTTTTTTGCTTTTGCTGCTTTTCGGCTTTTGTTGCTTTCCTGCTTTTTCTGCTTTTCTGCTTCTGCTGCTTTTTTGCTTTTGTTGCTTTTCTGCTTTTTGTGTTTTTGTCTTTCTGCTCTTTGCTTTTGTTGCTTTTCTGCTTTGGCATTTGTTCTCCTTTCCCTTCTTGTTTTTGCTTTTCCATTTGTTTGCTTTGCAAAGAAGAAACCAAACAAGGAAGCAAGCAAGCACGAGCTGCTCACCTTTGGATCTGGTGTGCTGCTGCGGGGGGCGCTGCCCCCCCCCAACCCCCCCCCCACGCCACGAAATCTGCACTTCATCTCCGACACCCGCGCCTGCCACGAAAGCAGTAAGTATTTTAAGGTGAACTCCCCGTGCAAAAACTTCTAACCAACCAAATATGCCTCCTGTGCTAGTTCTCTTTCTCTTTGCTCTTTCTCTGCTAGCTGCACCAAACTGTTGTGATAGGTAGGAGTTTCTCTGACACCTACACTATTCCAATGTATTTTGCCAGCTACGACAGCTCCCAGATTAGTCTAATCAGCTAGCAATTAACATAAAACCTGCACTATTCTAATGTATCTGGCCAGCTACGACACCTGTGTCTCTGCTACGACACCTGTGTCTTTGCTAAGGACACAAAATTGCTGTAATTAGCTAGGTACTAATAAGAAACCCGCTCTATTAATGTTTGAAAAAACCAGAAAAAATGAAAAACATCCAACATTAAAAGTGCACCCCTATGTTCTTGCAAGATACGGCCTTCAAGGCCTCCAAACGCCACACCTTTATTTTTTCAGGCCCGCGTTCCGTGCCCGAACCAAGACACTAGCTAACTATAACTAATTATACCTAACTAACGAATTAATGAACTAACTGACTGACTGACTGACTGACTAGCTAGCTGACCGGCTGGCTGGCTGGCTGGCTAACTTATATATTTGGAAGTCTCAGTGGCTGACCAGGTCATGTCGAAGTCTACCCTCGTCACTTTGAGGCTCGAGGAAGTCATGTGTGGCGGGCGCGATGCGGCGGATCCGCCGGGAATCTGAGGCTACAACGCGCACCGCTCGGGCTTCATCTTCCATGGCTCCAAAGCTGCGCCATGGGTGAACCCTGAAGTGGAGGAGAGGGGCGACCCTTGCGGCCGCTGTGGGATTGGGGGACAGGTGTTGAGGTGGAGAGCCACAGCTCGAGCATCTTGGAAGACCCAAAGTGTGAAGAGCCCATTTTGCTGAGTAGACGACTCAACGACTCGGTTCCTTTTTGGGGGTGCAGCCGGAGTAGAAGGTTTCGACCCATCGATGTGATAAGGAGACCTGACCAACCAGAGAATCTTGGAGTCATTGAGAAGAGACAAAGGGCACATCGGTGGAGGTTGCGGTTCCCATTGACACGTGGATTCCAAAGTGATCATTGAAGAAGCTTCTTTTTGAGGCTCAAGGGACTAAACAGTTTCCGCGGACAAAGTCCCAGGAGCGCATTTCGATCTGGAGGGCAGACATTTGGCAGTTGGCTGGCAGGCACAAGGAGGGTTTCAGGTCCTGGTCCTGATAGCTTTAGATGGTCAAAGGGAATTAGGTGAACATCACGCGATGACAGAGAATCAGGGAGCCGGATCCCCCGAGCTCTTTTTCTTGTTTCGGATTGAAGAGCCATTAGAGATGGAGCCCGATCCACCCATGAAGCAATCCTCCATGAGAAGCTCCCTCGATCGCCAGGATCTTTGATGCCTTGATCCAAGAGCTTGACCTCAAGGCGACGGAGACAACTCTCCATCGGCCTTGAGAGGTTCGTGCCTGTCGATTTCGGTCCATGTCAAGTGAAACCCCATCAGTCTGAGCAACTTCACACATGTGAAGTCCCCGTCGGTCGGAGGTGTGCGTCGGAGCTTCGTTTCACAAACTCCTCCAGCGCCGGGTCTCGGAACCGAGGCGATTTCTGCCGGTCATTTCAGCCGCCATGGGCCGTTCGACATGGTGTCCCACTCGCAGTTCCAGGTGAAGGCGACCGGGCTCGGAGTCGCTGAGGTACTTTGTTTGGCAAGAAATGGTCGCGCGACCTGGCCCATCTGGTCGATGAGAGTTGATATGTTGCTCTTGAAGTGGACGGTTGATAGAAAAAGAGCGTCTTCCAGGGGTGGTTTTTGCATTTTGATCTGTTTTTGTTGTTAAACACTGAAACAACAGGCTGCATCAAGTGGCCTGTAAGCGCCCTGAGTTCTGGTTGCTTTTCTCACTTAGATTGTGTGCGGCTATATTGGCTTGCTGCTCGGCTAGAGCCCGGCTTAGTGCGCAGACGCTCAGGAGATGCATCCGGTGGCTGCAGGCGTGTGATGTGGGCATGTCAGGTATTTGTCGGCTTCGTGGACAAATTCTTGGATCAATCATGAACACCAGTGACTTGCAGTCCTGAAAGTCTTGAGTCTTAGAGAAATTTCAGGTCTTTGTCCGAGATGTCCTGACATGAGACTTCCGGTTTGCCGAAGTCATTCTCCCAAAAGCATCCAAAAGTGAGGGAGTTTGTGGCTGCAAGTTTGGTGGGATGACGGATGGGAAGTACTTGGGTGCACATGGGTAGGATCAAGTAGTGACGAAGAACCTTTGCAGCTCCATGTTTTGTGACATGAAGCTCACCTTTTCGCCCCTGGAGCTCCAGTGAGCTGCGCCGGTCAGGGCCAAATGCGAAGGTCGTTCGCCTACCACTGTAACCCGCTGGAAGACAGTTGAAGCTGGAGGAGTTGAGCTGAAGGGGAAGCTGGCATGATTCATTTACCAATCCTGAAAAATACAGAAGAAATTAGTACAAGCGCTTGCTTAAAGGTCGTTTTTTCATTCATCAACTGTCAGTTACTGTCAGTCCGTATGCAAAGAATCTCAACTGGAATAGTGTAACCATTCCTTTCTGGTTGTGCAGACCAGTGAATGTGCAGGCACATTATAGGGTTTCAGTCGGGGCAGGTATTGGTGTCCAACCTTCACACTATATATCTCTTTTACCACGGTTTCTTTTCGACTCTTGCAACATGTTCGAACAACTTGGACCTTTGGCATCCACTTCACGTAGCTTTGGTTTGCTTCCCCACCCCTTGCTTCCGCTTCGTGGAACCTGTGGCTTGTTCTTCGTCGTGTTTTCGCGTCCGACCCAGGCACCAAGATCCCAGCTTCCTTTCGCTGCTGATCCACCACTCCTCCGAGCCACCGGGACAAGGCTGTGAGTTTTGGCTGGACCAGGAGCAGCGCTTCCTCCCGCTCGCCAGGCGAAGGGGCGAAGGGGAGCCAGCGGGAAGGACCAGAAGGGTTGGAGGTGTATACTGTAGGGTGAGATGTTGTGATCTCATAGAAGTTCATTGCATCTCTGTATAGTTGAGAGATGTTGAGAGTTTTGTCGTTTTTGAACAACTTGCTGAGGAGGATTTCTTGGAAGGCTTGACCCAGCAAGTTGTGTAGAGTCTGTTGCAAGAACATCCCCAAATTTGCGGTGGTGCTCCAACAGATCTGACTAAACGCCCACCTTGGAGGTCTGGCCCCACAGTCTGCACGGTGATCATCGGCCAGCTCTTCCACCTGCTGCTGGGACGAAGGCCCGCCCAGTCCAAGAAATTGGTGCCCGCCCAGTGCCACTCTTCGGTCTTTGTTTCGTGTGAAAATCGACGGGAGATCTTTGGATTTGGTCTCCATTCAGTGGTCTCCATTGGTTATCTCTTGCAAGCCACACGGATCCCATGGCGGACACAACTCCCGGCATCCCCAAATTCCGAGGATGACACCAACCGAGGGCCATCAGGGCGGGGGTACGTGTGCCGCCTGCAACACGTTTTTCTTGTAGAGCTGATGCAGACTCTTGGAGAGGCTTTACAATCCAAGTAGTTTTATGAATCAAGGGTCTACGAGTCTACTCATTGCTAAGACTTCAACAGTTCCATTAACTTTCATTCTATTATGACTTCTGACTGACATATTATGCATAAATTTGATGATGATTGTAACGTAGCCGTACGTAGCCTTGCTTTTGCCATTCCAGGTAGCACTAAGTCACTCACGGCGGTAGCTTGCATCCCAATGGCAGTGCAGGGATGAGTTTTAGATTGAGCTTTCGTCAGGTGTATGAAAATACCGAAATAACGTGTTTCAGCACCCGTCGGGTGTGCACATTGGAAATGATGTGTTGGTGCAATAAACGTTAAGCCGTTCAAACATCATTTTTTCATCGAATTTGAATTTTATTTTTCAATACTAATCAAACGACAGACGGTGTTCACATCGACGGAATGAGTCAGATTCCGAGTGAGGGAGGCGAAGAGTGCTTTTTCTGTTCACCCCAATGAGGCTTAAAGATGCATACATAGACTGTTTGGGGTAATTATGCTTTGGGCGTTCCAAACGAAAGACACGGGTGCCGCGGGTCACCTCTTTCTCTGTCTTCGCGGGGCCCCCTCTCGGCAAGGAGCTTCGCAAAAGGCAAGCACAGAGTGGTGACCAGGGCCGCAGATATGGAGAAACCGCGCATCTCTGCCACCTTCTTTTTTCAGCCTCCTGGCACGGCACGGCTGTGAACTGCGCGAATGTTTCTCGTGCTTTTCGCCTTTTGATTTCTACTAGACTCGACGACTTGGATGGGGCGATTTCGATGCCCGACTGGACGTGGAGTTCGATTTCCCAACCAGGACTGCTCTTAAGGAGTCGTTTGAGCACCGCTCCGAGCATGTCCACGTGAACCGATGATCTCACACCGGACCGATGCGACGTCTCTTTCCACCGGTCGAGACCAGTTGGTGGTGCAGGAAGACGCTTGGCTCGTCCAACAACTCCACGTTGTTTGTTGCGAATCCCTAGTAGCGTCCCTCGTAGGTTCTTGCTCCTAGTAAGGCCAGGCTAGGCCAGGAGCCCCTAGTGCAAACTTGGCCTGTTTGTCAAACAAGTGCGTTGACTTCTGTAAACTCCGTAAACAGTGCAGTTCATCCATACCTGGAAGTGTTGGAAGGCAGTCAAGATCATTTGATCATGTTTGATCCACGTCAAAAGCAGCTTCGTCTCCTGTGACATGTTCATTTGTCCACCTCCTTTGCGTTCGGAACATGCCCAACATGAAGACCAGAGGACCTGGAAACCCAGTCCCAACTAGAAACAAATGAATGTTTCTCTGTCACATGGACATACATGGACTTGGCAAGAACGGAAAACACTGACAACATATTTCTATTCGGGGCCTATACCGGTACCATCTTCTACCATGTTCCTTCTTGCTATTGAGACCCATTGATGAATCATTGATCTATATACTACTCATTGTCATGTTCAATGTCGTTCTCATTTTATGAATACATGGTGAAGCAGACTCCTACCATTATCTACTGCGATGCCTATTCCCACCATGTTCCATGACTGCACGGCCTCGTTCTCGTTGTGGCTTCGGTGCTTCACACGAGGCCATCGCCCGATCAGCTGTTGACACCCCTGGTGAGTGGAGAAGAGACACCAGAGACGAGACTTGGCAGACCGGTGGCCAGGCATCGGCGGAATCACGCCATGCATCAAGCATCCCAAAACCTTTGAGCGATGCGATGGGTTTAGGGTCCCAATCAGATTCCGAAAAACATGAAAGGATCTGGGTGAAACCGAAAAGCAGGTCCAGCTGTCCTCCAGACCCTGCAGCTTCCAGCCGGTCGTCCCGGTCGCCCAGGATCCAGACCTTCCGCGAGCGCCGGCGCCGAAGCTACGGCCGCTTCGCCCGGGCGGCGCTGGGGCCGAGACCAAAAGGACGCAGCGGATGGATGGACCCCAGAGGGGGGGTGGCGGTGGGTATTTGGAAGCGGGAGCGGGTGGAAGTTGGAGAAGAGCAGGTGAAACATGGTGAAACGGTGGAGGTGAAGGGGTGAATGAGATGTGAAGAGTGTTTGAAGATGGAATTGGATTTGCTCTACACCCTGGAAGACTATCATAGACCCTGAAAACCACTGGTTGGTAGAGGAAAACAATCATCCAGGAGGCCATTGTCAGGGTCCTTGTTAGTTTTCGGGAGTGTAACCCGGAAAGATGGGTGCACCCCAACCTGGTCGACCTTGACATGTTCGAGGAGTTTCTCTCTAGTTTCTAGATGTTGGAGACGCTGCAGGGACGGGTGAAACATGGTTTGGTGTCCCATGTAGACTATTGATTAGCAAAACCCTGCATTTGAATGGAAAAAGCTCTTCAAGCTTGGGGACTTCATTCATCACGAGTCTACATTACGTACATTAGGTGATTGTATGTGTCATGTCTTGCATCACAAGATATCACAGCAACTTGTACCCCCCAAAAGGCCGGGCGTTGGGTTCGTCGTCGGCTCCGTTGAGATCGGGTCTCGGGTCAAACTCGATCGAACTGGCGTGAGTGGACGCACTGCTAGGGCCTTGCTTGTGGCAGAGCTTCCTGAGTGCCAGAGGCCTGTAGTAGGGCCTTTAGCTGGCGGATGCTGAGTCGGTGCATCATAACATCCATTCGGTGAAGATGGGGAGAAATCCAAAGGACACTTAGAGGTGCTTCTTGTCAGAGCTCAGAGTCGAATGACAAGTACTTGTCGCTGTCATTTGTGCGTCCAGTCGAGTGAATGAAGAAAGACCTATGTCTATGCTGTTACCCTGTCCCGCTGTAGGTCCCTTCAGGGTTTCACTGAATATGGTGGGGAATTTGTCAAGGTCTTGATGCATAGTGCCCCCCTGCAGATCGATCAGAAGTGCTCCGCAAGGCGGCATGAAGGAATCAAGACCTTGGAACCCGAGTCAACGAGAGAGCTACACAGCTACACTGCGTTATTTCCAGCAGTGCTCTCCCCAAATTCCTACCAGCCTTTTGCCTCTATACTTGTAGACTCTAGACTTGAAATATGTGTACTTCAACCTCAACCCACCGAGATAAGATCTTCAGATGCGAGACACCCCAAATTCCGCTTCCAAATCCCTGGACTGTTAAGTTATTTCCAATCCTCACCCTGCCACACCGACCACCATGGTGGTGGCGGTCATAGAACATGATAATTTTTTCTCACGGCTCCTGCAGGGGCTTCCCCACAGATGGCTGCTATGAGCCGTGGCCTTGGCCCACAGGCTGGTTGGAGGAATGGGAGGAAGCCTGAGAGTCTATTGATGATGTACAAAGCCCGCAATGTGCCGCTGGCATTGGTCGCCCACAAATTACGCGTCCTTTGTGAACCAAGAGAGGTGTGGAAATGGGAAGCTGCCTTTTAGGCTAGTGTTCCGATTCCAACTGCAGCTTGGCAAAATATGTCCTTTGATGTGTCTGTCTAACTGTCTAACTCCTTGAGCGACCGAGGATTTGTAGTTGCGGGAAGTTTAGGTGCCCTCAATGGCCCGTTCTTTGTACTGCCGTGTGCCGTGTGGAGAGGTTTCTGGTGGGGAAACCGAGGGGTTACTGGAGGACAAAGGCATCCGGAACATTATATATAATTTTACCATATTCTACCTGGAGTGTGAGGGATTGAAGGAAGATTATCCAAGCACCACCAAATCTACTGCCCTTTGACATCTCCACCTTAACCTGAGTCTCCACGTTCGCCAGGCTACATCCGCAATGAAAGCGTTTGGGTCTGTGCCGAGGGCTATGTGGGAACGCCGGTGGAGGACGGAGGTTGTTGGTTGGCAGAGAGCACATGCCCATTACTAGTAGCGATGCCCTTGTGACTTAGTAGCTACGAGTAGTAACTAGTAATGCCCTTCTTACTAGATGCCCTTGTTACTAGCAAATTTCAATAGATGATGGCAATGGCACCCAAATCTGCGGCCCCATGCGGCTCCTGTCCAAATGCATTTATCCTGTCCATACTCTGTCCTTACGGAGCTGGCGGTTGGCGGCTCCGTACGCCTGTCCGTTGTCCAAATGCCAAACAGTCTTTGTGGCTGAGTCAGTTCTGGTGGTCGTCGCAACTTCGACCAGATCCTCCAGTCCACTCGATCATTATGATTCGGAAAGGAACAGGAGCCTCTAAGATGATCCCCATGTTTTCCGGCACTTGAAGAATGACCATAACGACCTGGTGACCAACCTGGAGTTTCACTCAGTCCCAGCCCGAAACAACTGGTTGGTTCCAATCCTTCTTGAGATCCTGGGTCCATCACTTGAAGTGCCATGAGACGGCGGAGTTTCCTCTCAATCCATTTCTGCTTCGCCGCGACCCTTCGCCGCGACCGACCGGGTCCGACCGGTGAGACCTGCGTGCCGAACGCGCCCTGTGGGCAGCCGGTGCAGCTGAGCGGGTGCCTGCTGTCCCTTGGAGTCGAGCAAAAGGGATGACGGTGAAGGTTCTCCTGAAGGCAGGTGCACTGAACCGAAGGTGGCAGCTCACGTGGGCTCAACAAGTACTAAGCTAGCTTAGCTCTAAATAGAAGGACGTGTTAGGTAGAGGTTATATAAGTTCTTTTAGAGTTTTGGACTCTTGGCAATAGAACCCCTTTGGTCAAGGGCCTTCATCGAATCGGAAAATGCCAGCCTGCAACCATTTGGTCTTCAGAAAACGCATCTACACACGTCTCACCACACTTGGACCATCCGGATGCGTTTTGGAAGGGACTGGTGGTGCCTTGGGACCCCCGGGCGGAAGCTTCCGAACGGTTCCGAGTTCCGGTGTCGTGATCCGTTTCGAAAAAGCCTGGACACTGATAGATGACTTACAAAAAGATCCCATAGATGACTCACAAAAAGCAATGCTATTCAACCTGTTTATTAAATCACACGCATGAGTATCCCAAACCCTGAATAGCGAGGAATAGTGATCGTACGGTGAACAAGAGTAGTCTTGACCGCCCCTCACGGACTGTTTCCAAAGCAAGTGACATCAAATGCAGTCAGACAAATGCGGACAATTGTGGTATGCGGTATATCGCTACGTCAGGCAATGGGGGTGTGGCTGATTTCCCTCAGGGCTGTGGAAGCCAGCAATTTTGGCCACGTTTGTAGGGCACCAGGGCGTCAATTCTCCATTGCTGAGGACATTAGAACAACTCTGAAATTTGCGCGTCTGTGGCATGTTTCATGTTAAATATGCCGTGAGAGATTTCAAGGCTCCTCGACATGCACTGAAGTTGAAGAAACAGATCAAACACATCTATTCTCTCCCTGGAGTATCGAAAGTCGAAAGTTGCTTCAGTACTCAAAGCACTCAGGGAGCAGCCCTGCGCAACGCTGACCTTTGACAGCTGCCGCTACGAAACTGTCGGACGCCGTGGGATGGGTGGGAGGTATTGGGAGGTGAGGAGGTGGTGCTTGTTGTTTTCTCTTTTTCCTGGTTTTCCTCTAAAGAGCTATATAGCTGGGTGGGGTGAAGCTAGGCCATAAGGAGGTAGACCTGCAGGACCCAAGAAGCTACGAGTAGATGGGAAGTGGGAAAGCTCAGGCTTCTAGGAAGCTTCCCTCGGTTCTCGCAGTTTATTTGGTTGCTGGTTCTTTCTGGGGATCTCAACCGAAAGAATCACTTAGTCTCACACAGTGTGCCAGCCCCAAAGCCCAGTTACAGCATCATGAAGCAATTTGCAGCAGGTGGGCAGACCAAGCAATGTCAAATTTGCAGTTGAGTCACGTGCAACAGGAAAGCTGAGACGGTTTTTATCTTCGATTGCCCACACCGTTTCAGCCTCCTCTCGAGTGAAAACTAAAACAGTGTGGCCCCGCAAAGATGCAGTCGCAAGATTCGGAAGACGACTAGCTCATCATGAGAAGATCATCGAACACGGTCGTCAGATATCACCAGAACCCTAGTTATCCATGCCTTGTTGATTGAGCTCTCAAAACAATATAGCTGGTGTCCAGCCATCCCCGCAGGATGCTCCGGCTTGATGAGTGGCGAATCCTGCCCGGATCTCAGTCCTGTCCCATGATTCCTGACCTACAATCACAATCACTGCCATCTCCTTGAAAGCTGTTTGAAGGAGACTGAGTCCAAGGCTAGGTGGGTCATTCATCTCTCACACGCACATACACGGAAAGAGATTCCAACATCTGGGTTGTGGCAAATGGAGGAGTCGAGGAGAGCTCTTGAAGCCGATGTTCGAAGACGTAGATGAGGTGTTTTGTTGAACACGTCAATCGATGCAAGCGATGCAATCGACATGCACGTCATGAAGGTCGACGCGATGGATCCCTTACTTCGACGACCGGTCCAGCTTCGTTTGCCTGAAAAACTCCCAGGTTTACCATGGCACCCTCAGTGTGAAGGAAGCCCCCACAGAGCACGGGTAGATGAACATCATCTCCATAGTTGGCAGCATTCTCTTCATGCTTTGGGACATCAACCTGGGCTAAGCCGGGTTCCATGATTCCATGACATCTCCATTCCACTTCTTCCCAAGGTGAGTTGCGCTGCAAGGCGCCGGCGGAGGGCGTCTCTGCCTTCCCCACCTGCCCGGAGGGGAACACCAATCCGCAGCAGGAGTGGGGCTGGGACCCGGAGATGGCCTTCAACACGCCCGACCAGTTGGTTGAGGATGAATGGAGGGGATATAGGAGATCGTGAACAACCAATAGGTACGTATGTGGTACTATCTTTTCCCCAAAGGAAAGGACATCACTGGTGGGACTGGAGGTTTTTCACCCTGTGGGACGTTCCCAAACGCCACGCCTTCGGTCAGGAACTCCTCTACGAGTTGCCCAGCTGTAGCATTCCCAGCTGCCCATGGCCGAACCCCGTCACCAACGGCTACACCGTGGAGGAGAAGCGGTTGAACCGAGAATCGGATGAAGTGGATGGTGTCTTGGAAATGGGGTTCAAGCCATGAAAAGCCACGGAGCTTGGTAGAGAAGATGAGATGGGATTGAATCTAGTCATAAATTGGATTGTCCAGTCTTTAGGCAACTGCATCTTCAGTTCAAGGCAGATTCTTACATGTCA